GCAGTTTATTTTTTGTGAACGAAGCAATGAACATATAAACAGATCTCACCAAAATAGGTATAAGCGCAATTGCTTTAATTAGCTTAAAAGGATGCTTTAAGCAAGATCTTAATATACATATCGTCGTTTAAAGTACAAAACCGCGTATCAACAAAATGCAAAACCGCGTATGTGACGTTGTATAAATTATTTTCTAGAGAGTAAAAACACTCATATTTTTTATAAAGCAATCGCATTTCTGGCTAGTATATTTCAGGACGAATGGATAAGGATTGAGCCAAGAGCTTGTGTGAGGAAATCCAATTTTTGGCAGCAAATGTCAGTTACGCGGTTTTGCAAAATGACGATACGCGGTTTTGTAATTTAAACGACGATATACATATATAAAGTAAATTATACTCTTTCTGTAGTAATATCTTTCATATCACATATTTTCATTTGTTAATTTAAAAAGAAAGAAGATTTCAATGCAGTTCAAAAAACTAAATTTGATTTATTTAAGGAGACTTTTATGAATTTTACTGAAAAGACTTTAAATATACTCTAAAAAAATTGTATCTATTTGCGCATATTAAGGGAGGTAACCAGTTTCCTCTTTTAATGTGTGCAAATTCGCACGCCGTGTAATAAAATTAATCATTTCCTGTTTACTCTTACATACCAAATTTGTCGCAAGAGCAAAATTACACATAAAATGTTTAAAACAAAGTATTGTTTATTATTAGTAGGAAATGAGTAGTCCACTTGCAAACAGCGTTATGTGATTTTATAATACAAAGTCATAAATTTGAAAAAGTGACTACGACAACAAGTAACATTTAAATTGAATCTTTTTATTATTTGTAACATAACATAACATATCATAAGATAACATTAACAGTCTATACGACCTAAAGCAGCTTTCTAAGTTCATCAGAAGATTGATACTTTTGAAAGTTCATTAATAAGTATGATAGCGACTTTTGGAAGAAGACTTAACATTTGATGCTATTTTTTCAGAATATAAAAAGATTTTGCACTCTGTTGTTAGTGGACATGAAACTACTTTAAATACTGGTACGTAATCCGCCAAAAACTAAGAATCGAACAAATTTTACATAGCGCACTTTGCAAGTAGACTACTCAAATGTATTTGTAGTTTGAAAATTTTTGCAATTTTAAACATTCTATATATGTGTATTTATATGTATATTTTAAAGATCCCAAGTTCAAAATCAAATACTGAACATCTTATACGTATATTTATACAGATTCTTGTTGAAAAGTAGATACTTTTCAGTAGTAGTTTTACATGCTCTTTTTAGAGTGTACTTGCTACTTATTATATTTACTTTGCAAAATACTTATGCAAAAAAAATGTACTTTATAAATTGAAATTACAAATGCTTGATGTTATGCACATGTATTCCAAGTCCTTAAGATGGGTTAAATTATGTCTTTTTCATGAAAATGTTTGGTTTTCTTACAAATTATGAGATGTATATGTAACAAAAAAAATTGGATACATTTGGATACATTTTTGGCTTGGTCAGGGATACATTTTCTTGAGACGGCGCGGCAACACTGATCACAGCGCGCGATTAGTGCATTATGTCATACCAGGTATGTGTGTACGTGTGTATGTGTTGTCACCGCTGTGCATGCTTTGTGTACATATACTTTCTTAATTACATATGAAAAAGCATCCGAAGCGTGCAAAACGCCAGCCGTGCAGTGAAAAATGCTCAATTTTAATAAGAGCGTATTTGGATTGAATATTTCCATTATACGTAGTGTATGTACAAAGGAAAAATCCATTCTGTTAACGTTTTTCACGTGATTTAAATACGAGCATTTTTAAACGGTAATCAAATAAATTTTTTTTATTATTACAACACGTTTTTTTCTCAGTGTACTATTCTTTCTGTCAACGACAACCTCCACCCTACTACAGCTGCAAGGGACACTGAAATTCTACGCTAAACTAATGGGTCGATTATCGATAGCAAACGAACTTCAGTTGCGTTGCTAGTTGCCAAAACGATATTACAGATGACAACTGGCAACTTTTAACTGACAACTGTAGTTGCTAAAAAGTGTGTATACAGGCAACTACATTTTTGTGGTTGCTGGGAAGGTTTTTGGAGCGTATTTAGGAGCGAAAATTGAAAAGTTTGTCGTATATTTTACTTTTTAATAATTTGAACGATATTAACATTTTGCAATGCAGTTTGCTTTTACAGAATATGGTGACAATAACAAAACAATAACTTGAAATTTTAGTTCTCGTGGAGTACGCCTTTTGGCGAAACAAAAGCGAACACTCATTGCAAATTGTTTCCTTTATCAATTGAAGCACCTCTTTTAAAACTACCGACACACCAAATTTTCCAAATTGAAGTCATTGCTGTAGCACTTCCATCTGCGAAAAATCGAAGAGGTGCGCAAGCTTTTATGAGCGGAGGTATTGAAGTTGAACGAAGTGGTTCATCTGTTTATTAACCAATTATACTACGGCTTCTTTTGGAAATCCTCAATATGCTTTGAAAATGAACACAAAACCTTGAAAGCATTAACTTTTGCTTACAGTGCGCGGTAGCTCTAGAAGATTGGAATTATCATTTAAATGTCGCCTGATTGAGGGCCGTGTTCACTTCTCTTCCTCTTAAACAAATAATTGTGCTGAACTTGGCTTTATTGCTGTCTTTTCTTTAAAACTCTTTATTTTAATAATTTAATTTTACTCGAACAGCTTGTTTACAGCCACATACTGGTTGTCGAACTGTCAAATTTCGATTATCGATAACTCTACAGCAACTGAAAATAGTTGCGATTCGTAATACAAATTTTCTTTCCAGTTGCGTTGCCAGCAGGCAACCGAACCGTGGTTGCGTTGCTATCCGTAATCGACCCATAAAATAAGTCACATCGATTTTCAAACAACTCAACAACACGCGAATAATCTGGCACTGTAAGGGTATCAATCAAGCCCTGCCATCAGTACCTTCGGAAAGAAGGAAATCAAAAGCACAAAAAAGTGTGTGTTCACATAAAAGTGTATTTCCGATTAAAGTTGTTAATAAATTAGTACGCGGAAATTCCTAGTCTGTGTTTTAAATTAAAGCTCAATCTTTTAAATACTCGGGTAAGTTGAAATATTTTAATTTAGATCGCGCGTTTTCTTGTAATAACCCGAAATAAGTGGGCAAATAGCATAAGAGTACTCTTTGCTAGGTCCAGTTGCCACTGTAAATATTGGAATCCACATTATTAATAAACCAGTGCGCCGGAAATTTAAATATTAGTACTAAATTAAAGTTTGGTCCTGTAACTACACGAAAGATTTTGATTTCGATCGTGCGTTTTCATGTAATAAACCAAAATAAGTGGGCAAATAGCCTAAGAGGTTGCTAGGTCCAGTTGCCACTGTGAATTTCGGAAGCCACATTATTAATAAACAAGTGCGCCGTAAATTTAAATATTAGTGCTAAATTAAAACTTAATACCTTTGTAGAACAGCGTTCAGTTTTGGAAGCGCTCATCGACATTTGCTACAAAAAAAAATTAACTAAAACAATGCATCCATCGCGTTTCGCTTAGTGGCAGAGGAAGAGGAAGAGCGGTTGATGGCGCAGAGGCTCGAACGAAGAAATTTGCGTGATACCTACCACAAATCCCTTCGAGTCTTCAATCTAGAGTCAATCTTTGTATTTTTTGGAAAAACTAAAAAAATTCATTGATTGCTAGCTTATTGGTCCAAATGGATGAACAATTCATTACCCCTTTATTGCTCTGTTTTGGCATTACTCTATACATTTTTAAATAAATAATTAGATATTAAAACGCCCAACTTTACTACAACCATAGAGGGAACTACATCCTAAACGTTATGCTTGTAAGTTACTCCTTTTTCCGCATTTATCTATATGGGAATTTTTTTAGATATCGACAGCTGAGTTGAAGCTCTACCTATCTCGGCAGCCGGTTCGAAAATGTCCTATCTCAAAAAATGGCTCAAGAGCGCACTATAGCAACATATTTTCCAATTCTGAGAGAGAGCGTTTTTCAATCAAATTCTGACGTAGGGCGTTCTTGAGCCATTCTCTGAGATTTAGTGTTTTCGAACCTGCTGCCCAGATAGTTCGAGCTTCAACTCAGTTGACGATATGCTTATTTGTACATATTTATGTTCAATATTTAGCTTTGCGTGCCACGATTCCCTCATATTGAACAACACCGAATTGCGTGATTATTTTGAGAGGCAATATTTGCAAGGAGCGAGGAATGCCTGGTTTTTAGGTATTGTTGTTATATTAATATACACTTGACCGTAATTACACCCTTTGTATATTTTCAACAGGGGACGCAGGGTATTCTTTAGAGCCGTGGCTGTTGACACCTCATAGAGCTCCAGAAGAAGGCCTAAGGGAAATGAGGTTTAACGCAGCACATTCAAAGTGCCGAAACGTTATTGAGCGCACCAATGGTGTACTAAAACCCGCTAACGATGTATTCTTGGCGCAAGAGAACTGCACTATACAGCCGAAAAAGCTGCAAAAATCACAAATGTGTGCTATGCTTTGCTTAACATTTGCATTCATTTCAAAGCTAATGTTGACATTGAACTTGAAGTGTTGGAGCCTGAAGATGCGGACGTAACAATTGCTTCTCCGCAGTAAAGCGTAGTAGCACAATCAATTAGAACAAATATAGGATCCGCTCTTTAAATAATACGCAAAGCCTGGCAAAAACGTCGTTGATTTTTTCTTTTTTTTTTTCTAAGCCATTGGACATTATTTGAGTAGGGCGAGTCGTAGCAACTGACGAATCAGTAGTTGTGTTAGATGAGTGCACTAAGGGCACTCCGCGCTAGTTTAAACTTAGATCGCTCAAACTGCATTCATATCTAACAGTTGCCTGACATGTGGTTGGCCTTAGTTTAAATCCACAGTGTATATTATTTCTTAAATATTTCTTAAAAATTTTAAATAGCAAAGCTTACATTTTTTCTTTACAGATTTGTATGCCGCAAACACAACAATCTGGTAACATCTGCTCCAACTAGCCGTGCAACAACTACAATTTATCCTCAACAACTACAATTCATCCGCGGATTAGTCTCAACTGTGCCTACAACACGTTACTTTTCGCAATTCAGAAATCAGCAACAACCAACGTCCAGCATAAGTACCGGAACTACCACATCAACAATTGTTGCCACAAAAGCTACTGACAACCGAACTACTCACGTACTCATAAATCGCTCCAATAACACTTTAATCGGTGGTAACACTACACAATGCCTGCAGAACGCTAAAATTTTGAATAAACCACCGACAAATATTGCAGCGACGGCCGTTATCGCTAATAAGTCTCCAATTAATCACAATACTCATTCTCCTGCCATACAAGCTATGAAGCTGCGACAACAACCCCTGCGCCAAAACATTTCGGCCTTGCAACAAATTAGGCAACAAACACAACACCAGCAAAAATAACAGCAACAACAACAAAATATTCAACTCAGCAGGGACATCTCTCCCTGCGACAACAGTCGCTGCCCCGCCCGATGGTACTTCCATCACAGAAGCTGGAACTACTAAGCCTGAGGTTGAATCCGAGATTGACATTGTGATCAACAACGTGGTTTGCTCGTTCAGTGTGCGATGCCATTTGAATCTGCGTGATATTGCTCTCAATATTCCCAATGTGGAGTATCGTCGCGGGAACAGTATGCTGTCAATGAAGCTGCGAAGACCTTATACGACTGCGTCCATCTGGTCATCAGGTCGAATCACCTGCATAGGTGCCACGTCTGAAGAACAGGGGCATCAGAGTAAGATTGAATATATGTATTTTTAACCGACTTCAATTCGTCGGAATATTTTTTTGATGTATGTTACCGCATAACTTTGGACCACGTGAGCCGATTTCGAAAATGCTTTTATCGGAAAGGTGCCAAGTAGATAATTTCAGGAGTTAAAAGCCCTTCCGAAAGGCCTTTCTTAGAGCCAAGAGGCCTTCCACTCTACACTCCTTTCTTTTTTGTATGGAGTGGCACAAATTGAAGGGCTTCTTCTTTCGCTACCCATAGAAGGCCTTCCAGAAGGGCTTTTATAGGACGTACGTACGCCTTTTGGAGGAGTTCTTTTAAAGTTGCTTCTTTAATTTATAAAAATCATACATCTTTGAAGTATTTGCTTAAAGTTTATATCAAATATGCGTTATTGCAACTGAAAATGTTTATTGTAATTTATTTGTAATGCTGAATTATATAAATTTATGCATTCGCGTAAATTGTAAATGGATAAGCCCTTCTAGAAGGCTTGCAAGGAAGCACTGTTTCCAGCTTTTCTTGGGTAGGCCTCTTCGAATGGCTTCACTTAAGAAGGCCTACCGAAATTATCTTCTGGGACTAAACATTATGCTGTATGCATAAAACTTAATCAAATGCTTTTTCGTAAAATTTCAGACCTTTTACTCTATTTGTTCGAATAAATTTAAGTGAAAGGTATGAACTTTTAAGAAGAAGCAATTGCTTTATTAATGCGACCCATTGTCTATAGCAAATACTATAACATTTACAAAATTCTTTCAGTCCTTATGCTAATGCCACTACTGATGGCTTTTGATGTGCAATTAAGCTCACGTTTGGGCATGCTGGAGACGGCCCTAGTAGGCTACAAAAATATGTGCGGTAATTTGGAGAAGGAATTAACGAATGCCAAGCAATTACCCGTGGCAGATCAATCAATAGAAAATGTCATAAGCTCAGAAGTCTATCAGCATACAAAGAAAGAGTGGATACCAACGTTCTACAGTAACCATGTCCTAAAGCGCAATATGTGGTTGGTACGTTCTTGCTCTTTGAGTGAAATTCGTTTGCTTGCCCAATAACTCGCATAACTAATTCTAAATAAATTCAAGTTGGTAAGGCGTTAAACAGGCGATCGCGACTCTTGTGTTGCTGGACCGTTTAAAGCACCCAGATATTCAGTATATGAAGATTTGAGTATATAAAAGAATATGAGCTTTTGACAAAAATAAAAGATCAAAAATCAACAGTAACTTTTAATTACTTCAAATCTGCATTTAAATTCAGCCAGCTACAAAACTGCGTTTTCAAACGCTTTGTAAAACATTTAATTAAAAAGTTTCACTAAATATAAAGTTAAAATTTTTAATTTGCAGAACTATCTTTTGAAAAATAAATCAAATTTTAAAAAACAAAAAAAAAATTGGTTTAGCCGACCTAAACCATTACTCAAATTTGTTACTAGTTAGTAAGCATGCAACTATGTGTACATTAAGTACTAAAAACTGTCAACGTTTGGGAAACACTGATTTACTTTCGGCCCCGCTATCAGCTACAAAGATGCATAACTGCCGAAAGTACACCGGTACTTCCTTTACGATATCACTTGCTTATATAAGTATGTATCTTATCAGCTGAACATCATTATAGTCCAAATATACGTTGGAGTACACATCACCCGCTTCCGCATTCTTGGCACAAAGTTCCTCTGAGTTTGAATCGGCGCTCTCTTGAGGTATTTTCGCCCAAACATTTTGGTCCTTCGAGCCGGATATGAACCAGCGACCTATGGATGTATTTACATAATATTTACATATGTATATACATATGTACATCTTATCAAAAAACTTAATAAAATGGATTTATTTTTGGAATTTTATGTATATTTAGTGTACCCATACATACAGTGTCGGACAAAAGTATTGGCACAGAGAATTTTTCGCAATATATGCAAAGTTTTTTATTCTAATTTATTTTCAAAATTTTTTAATAAAAATATAGTTCGTACTTCACCAAAAAATATAAAAACAAAATCTCTAAACTTTGTGCAAAACTCAGGAAAATTCAATAAATTTGCATACTAATTTGCAACTTCTTATTCAGATTTTTTAGAGAAATTCTAAGTATGTAGTTTTATAGCCCAACTAATTTTAGTATAACAAAGAGCAAGTTTGAAGTATCTAAAAAATTGCGTTGATTTTTGGACATTTTTTTAGTAGAAGGTGTTGCTCATTTTCTCCATACAAAAAATAATTGTCGAACATACTTTGTACGGAAGAACCTGACTGAAAAAAAATTGCAAAAAATCAATGCGATTTTTTAGCACCTTCGGGCTTGCACTTTGTTATGCTAAAATTAGTTGAGCTATAAAACTGCATACTTAGAATTTTGCAAATGCAAATTTATTGAATTTTCCTGAGTTTTGCACAAAATTTAGAGATTCAGTTTTTTATCTTTTTTGGTGTAGGACGAACTATATATTTATAAAAAATTATCGAAAACAAATTAGAATAAAAAACTTTTCAGTTATTGCGAAAAATTCTCTGTGCCAATACTTTTGTCCGGCACTGTATGTATATACATCTATCCCTAACTTTAAGATCCAATTTTTTATTTTTTTTGCAATCCCTACGTATTGCAAGGCTGGCGGCAATGTTGAAGTCAAAAGCCTTCAACGTTTGGGAAACACTGATTTACTTTCGGCCCCGCTATCAGCTGCAAAGATGCATAACTGCCGAAAGTACACCGGTGCTTCCTTTACGATATCACATGCTTATATAAGTATGTATCTTATAAGCTGAACATCATTATACTCCAACTATACGTTGGAGTACACATCACCCGCTTCCGCATTCTTGGCACAAAGTTCCTCTCAGTTTGAATCGGCGCTCTCTTGAGGTATTTTCGCCCAAACACATAGTTAAAATGAAAACCCTGTACTAAAACACATCTCCTTTAAAATTTGTATGACACTTAAAAAGCCCTACGAACAGAATTGTATGCGTTGCGAGTTTGGTTTTTTGCATCTGTAAAAAATTAAAAATGTCAGCGTTTCTACATTTTATCAACGATATATGTATGTATGTAAATGTTCATACATATGTACTACAGATCTCATTTTCATTCTTTTATATACACTCATGTAAGTATGTATCAAAATGAGCCTAAGAAGTTAAGTAAACAGAAGAAATAAAAACACCAATATTTAAAATATGATTACATCATAAGAAAGAGTCTTTTCATTTTAAAGAAAACATACACTCTAAAAAATTTTTGTTTAAATTTGCGCATATTAAGATAGGTAACCAGTTTCCTCTCTTAATGAATGCAAATTTAAACACTACTTGCTTAGTTTTACTTATCATATGTGTGGCGTAGAACAAATTTCAAATTTGTTTTTTGAGTTTTAAACATTTATTGTTCACATTTTCACAGTTTACACATAAAATGTTTAAAATTTCCTCTAAAAAATTTTCGTTTAAATTTACGCATATAAAGAGAGGTAACCAGTTTCCTCTCCTAGTGTATGCAAAATTAAACACTGTCTGTTTACTTTTACATATCAAATTTGTCACGAAGCGCACACAAGGGATGGGTTTTGGGGGTAAATTTATTATGATATAAGAAATTTTGATAGAAAAAATTTTCTTTTCCATTTCTAATGCGTCATTTTGTAAGAATTTTTCTTTTTTCTTGAGAGCTCTTTAAAGTTTAACTGCGAATGAAAGCATTGTCCTAAAAATATGCAATGCATACTCACTTACTGTTGGTTTTTACACTTTACAGGCTAAAAATGTTTACCACTGATATGTACTTAATAAGCATTCGAAGATTTAATTTGCTAACTTCGAATTCGTTCCACCAAAATGAGCTACATGATAAAAATACAAGTTCATTTAAATTTTCGTTATTCGAAGTATTATAAAATTATAAACCAGAAATCGACGAAAATGAATAAAAAAAGTGTAAAATCTTAGTGAAGTTATTTAATTTATTTATATTAGAATTCTTTTGTAAAGTTTTGTATTACTTTTGAAAGTTGAGTGCATCTTTAACTGTAAATTTTTTCATGATTTAATGATCGGATCTAAACCATCTTTCCTGTAAAAAAAGAAAATAATTATTGGAATCGGTTCACGCGGTGCAAAGTTATGCGGTGGAATAAATTAAAGAAGTAAAAATACTCCGAAGAATTGATAACCTCCTCTTTTTTAAGCCGGTTTTAAATAGTCTGAGTTCTTTGTAAATTTTATATAAATAAAATGCAATTGATGATACTTTAAAAAGTTTATTTATTTATTTCATACTGTATAAACCCTTTCCCCCCAAAAATATATTCCTGCGTGCACCCCTGGCACTTAGTATTTATTATTTGTAAAAAATATATTTTTACCTTCAAAATGTTTGTAATTTTAAACATTTCATGTGTATATTTCAAACAACTCATGTTCAAAACCAAATCTTGAACATCTTGTGCGTATACTTGAACAGATTCTGGTTGAAAAATAACCACTTTTCAGTAGTAGTTTTACATGCACTTTTTAGAGTGTACATAACTAAAAAAAATATACACGTTTTTGTATTTCGCTTACAAAAGAAAACAATTACTGCAAAAACTAAAACAATATATCACAACTAAATAAAACTTATGTACTAAATAAAAAAAGTTTGATCGCTACATATCTACCCTGAAGAGCAAAACTGGAACAATAAAACGGAAAGTTAAATTTGTGGTAATGTACTTTTTCAATTTATTGACTTTATTATAATTCAAATTTGCATTTCGCCTTACCGATGTTTAGCTTAACGTTTAACAATACAAATTTTTTAAGATTTGCAGGTGGAAACTCAGTAAAAAATTACCAAACAAAAATTGACTGCATTGTCCAGTTTTGCACCCTCTTCATTATTATTCTGGGCCATATGCACCGCGACCTCTGAAGTGATCTATTCTGCGTGAACCTACGCCCTATAGGGGAAGGCTTTTAATGTAGCCTAGCACTTTCAATGGCGTTTTTTTCCAGATTTCAAATGGATTAAGTGTAGCATCACCCAAGTGAGCTAGTCTGCGCCTAGCAAGAGCATCACATTCACAGAGAATGTGTTCTGGCGTTTCCTCATCCAGCTCACAGAAGCGACAGATATTTGTTTCTGACATCCCTATTGCGAATGTCGACTGGCTCGCTCACCCTTCTATGGCTGTTTTTTAGTCGTTGGAGTTTGCGTTTATAAAATTTACATAAGAAAGTGGTACTATAATGGATAAAAAGTAAGTCAATCGAACTGGAAGTTGTAAAAAATTGTGAAATATACATACATATGTATGTATGTGTCTGAATTACGGATCAAAAATTATAATCAACAAAAGGCAACTTGCGCGGTTGGTCGTGCTGATGCAGGAGAGTGCGGACATAGGCAGAGGAATTTCCGGAAAGAGTAGGGGAGGAAGCTCCGCTTCTATTGGGAAAGATACATATACAATATCTCTTGTGCATATAACTCCGGCTACGCCATCCACAGTGTTTTTGCGCAGAACCAACATCAAAAGTTTACAAAAAATTGCATAATTTATCGGAAATTTGAAATCTTTATTTTAAATTAAAGTTGAATTCTTTCACTACACTTGTATGTTAAAGTTTTTAAACTCGGCTCACGCGTTTGGACACAAATACCCAACATCATTGTACCAATATCTAAACCGTACCGTATTTCTTAAACTTCCATAAAGTTTATTAATGAGGAAAACAGCTTTTCCTGCAAATCATGTAAAGCCTAAAAACCGTGAAGCATCGGGTACGCAACTTCTATTCATAAAACTCACCTATGTACATACACTTCAGCTTCCAACTCCGAGGGATCCGACGAATCTCGCAATTCCCTCCTTGCTTTAGCCAACTCTACTAATCTATTAGCTTCCACATCATCTTCCTCATCACTAAACCATATTTCAACTGTGTCCATTTTTTAAATTTTATAATAAAATCAATTATTTTAAAAATGATGTAAATAAAACACTAAAGAAACAAATGTAAACAAAAAAACAGCTGTTTACAATTCTGTCAACCATTCACAATAGTACACATTTTTATCGATCAAGTTACACAATAGCAAAATAAAAGATGATCGACTCGATCGACAAATTTCTATTCTACTGCCAGTCGACACTCGTAATAGGGGCCTGAAAGATTAATTTTACTGAGGTGATAGCGAAGGGAGCAATGTCCCGTATAGTACCCAGTGAGAGTTTTTAGGTATTCTCTGCCTAAGTTGAGTAGT